GCTATAAATGTCTTTCTGTATTGTTCTGTCATTAAGAGGGGGTACCTCAGGATAGAATGCTGGCCTAGGACCTCAAAGGTTCAAGATGGCCCAGTAAGCTGGTCAGTCATGTCCTTGGAAGACTGACCTTGTAACCATGCGGCAGTACTTTCTCTTGGTCTCCACTATCACAGTGATGGCCCAGGTTCAGGGTTCAATTTCCAGCTTAGGGAATGAGTACTTTCTTGTTTGATACTTCGGTGACCTTTAATCATTTTTTGATTCTCTTCCCCTCTAGGAACCGTGTTAAGTTTTCCTTTCTCAGAATACCTGTGAGGTGGCTTTTGGTAAAGTTCAAAAGCCAGAGATATTGGCCGCTTGACCTGACTAAAGTCTGGTAATAAGAAATTTAAAAGAGCACTATGCTTAAAAGTCAGCCTTAATTTAAAACAGATATTCAAGCTCTAATAGCCTGTATGTGGGGGGAGCATGGCAAGATGGGATGGCTGAGGGGGTTGTGGGGAGTGTTGGAACTGTTGAGCATCCTGATTATATTGTGGGTTACACAAACCTAGAGATATGTTAGAATTCATAGAACTGTACACCCCCCAAAAGTCCTTTTGACTGCATAATTTTATTATGCAGTAAAATGTCAAACAGATTGAGTATCTTCCATTTTATTGTGCTTGACCTAACACTCCTTGGGAAAAACAGAGGAGGTACCACAGACCCTGTTTGGGAAACACTCTTTTCTCCTCAGGAAACCCCATGAATTGCAAGTGGATAAGTCTCTCTCAAAATCTGAGGTTCTGTTCTGTGTTGCATTCATTATATGACATTTTTTTACTTTTGGGGTTATCAGACATTATTTCACATATGAAAGAATTTTGATATGTAATAATTGGGTAAGATATATACTTTTGAGGATGGCTAATAGCAGTTATAGGGAAATAGCTCTTCACATTTGAATCAGAGAAACATACCCTTGACCACATAAAAAGTATGGGGATGTCCTCACACCCAACTGAGAAATAAGATTTCCATGGGAATAAACTGATTGTTTTTTGGATCCATTTAAAAATGGATCTCATTTTAAAATGGAACCCTTAGTTTTGGAGGATCTGTTTTGCCTTCCAGCTACCTTACTTTTAGGCTGTAAGAACTACATGTTTTCCTGGTCCTGGGATCCACCCTGAAGCTAGTAATTCAATTAAGAAACTGACAAAGGAAAAACCTTACAACTACTGAATCTTTTGTCTGTATATTTCTGTGTTGTGTGTGTGATATAAAAGAGCTCTGATTAATTGGTTTAAAAACAATAAGAGCTTAAATCAAATATTTTGTCAGAAAAGTAAAAAGTGTAATGCCTTTTAGTAGATGTGACAAGTAATCTTTTGGGAATTAAACAGTTTTAAAGATTACTGGAAAGATAAAATGTCTTCAAAATACAAACATTTGATCAAAATGATACAGGTCAGATACTAGGTTTACCAACTACTTGAAGGTCACAAACTGCTTCTTTGACTTTTAAAAATTGTTCAATTTTCCTATCTCGAAGCCACTAGCTTCTAAATAAGGCCTGGGGACATATGGAATTAGTCATGCCCCCTTACTATCCAAAGAAGGTTATAAAGAAAAAAGGTTTTATATTTAAAAAAAAAATCTTGTATAGCAAATTCTTTTCCTAAAATAAAATGACTGGTTATTTAAAAAGAGGGATGTTTACGACAAATCAGAAAGTCCAAACATATTGTAGATAGTCTGCATAAGAAATGAAAGCATTCATGAAAGGGATTTCATACAAGAAATGTTGTACAATTTAAAGGTGATTAGACCCTCTGAATACTTCATAAAATGCCACTAAGGCTCTTACTGTACAATTTGCCAGCTTTACAGCTAGGTAGGGCCTGGGGCACATGGAATCAGCTACACCCTCTAACTATTAACACACTGGAAAGAGTCAGACGTTATCTACACTTGTGCCTGGGTCCTAGACTCAACACCTAGTACATAACTAAAATCCCACTTACCACGGTTTTCACGATAGGTAAAAGTTACTAAGAATTAATATTAAACATGGAATTTTCACTACTATAAAACAGTTTCACATGCAAGGTATGCAAAGACAATGAAATGTGTTTTTGATAAAAGTTTATAAAAAATAGAAATGTAGATTTGTCTAGATTAAAAGGTTGTTTTAAATTAGATAGAATAAAACTGAAAGTTTTAATCAATTGTGGATAATTTTTGAACATTTAATTGTAAAAGAGATTCTGTGAGCACACTGACTAAAGTTACAGGGGTATTTTCCAGTTGTAATATAAATTGAACACTGTGATAAAAGTGACAAGTTTCTCTTAAAGCTCTGATCAACTCTTTAAACAAAAAATGTGTAGTTATAAAAGTTTTATGAGAATAATACCTTATGGTCAAACATTAAAACTGGATATTTGTCTAAAGATTCATTAAGGCTGGGCACAGTGGCTCACATCTATAATCCCAGCACTTTGGGAAGCTGAGGCAGGTGGATCACGAGGTCAGGAGTTCAAGACCAGCCTGGCCAAGATGGTGAAACTCCGTTTCTACTACAAATACAAAAATTAGCCAGACGCAGTGGCAGGTACCTGTAATCCCAGGTACTCAGGAGGCTCAGGCAGGAAAATCACTTGAACCTGGGTGGCAGAGGTCCAGTGAGCCGAGATCAAGCCATTGGGTTTGACATCACTAATACACAAATATAATGGTGAAATTTGGATCATTTAGTAAAAAATCATACAGGAAACACTGTCAAATGTGAAATCATGTTTTACTCTTTTTGGACTATATTTGTATAAATATGCTATTGGTATGTGTTTCAAAATTATAGGGCTGGGCAACATGGCCGACGTCTGTAATCCCAGCATTTTGGGATGCCAAGATGAGCAGATAGCTTGAGGTCAAGAGTTCAAGACCAGCCTGGTCAACATGGTGAAACCCCCGTCTCTACTAAAAATACAAAAATTACCAGGTGTAGTAGCATGCACCTGTAGTCTCAGTTGCTCAGGAGGCTGAGGCAGGACAATCGCTGGAACCCAGGAGGCAGAAGTTGCAGTGAGCCAAGATCGCACCACCGCACTCCAGCCTGAGCAAAAGAGTGAGACTCTGTCTCCAAAAAAAAAAAAAAAAAAAGGGAAATCGCTGTAATTCTAATATGACTAAGTGTATGTTATTAATAATTACACTTTGGGAGGCTGAGGCGAGCGGGTCACCTGAGGTCAGGAGTTCAAGACCAGCCTGTCCAACATGGTGAAACCCGTCTCTATTAAAAATACAAAACTTAGCCGGGCATGATAGCAGGTGCCTGTAATCTTAGCTAGTTGTGAGGCTGAGGCGGGAGAATCGCTTGAACCCGGGAGGTGGAGATTGCAGTGAGCCAAGATTGTGCCACTACACTCCAGCCTAGGAGACAGAGCAAGACTCAATCTCAAAAAATACTACTACTATTACTACTAATAATAATTATAATTGTTACCTAAAATCATTGTATGCCACAGAGCTAACCAAATTTCCTTGTCAATCATGTTCTTTTTTTACTGTAACTGCCCTAAGACTTTGCCATCCAGACAATCATCTTGTGTCAATCCTCTTCAAAAGATGATTTGTAGTCAACTATAAGACACTGACAGGGGTTCTTAAATGCAAGTTTCTGATAACATTAGAAATTTGACATTAGAATAGAGGAAGTTCTTTTTTTTTTTTTTTTTGAGATGGAGTCTCACTCCGTCACCCATATTAAAAGTACAAAAATTAGCCGAGCGTAGTGGCATGCCTGTAATCCCAGCTACTCAGGAGGCTGAGGCAGGAGAATCACTTGAACCCGGGAGGCGGAGGTTGCAGTGAGCCAAGATGGTGCCATTGCACTCCAGCCTGGGTGACAGAACCAGACTCAGTGTCAAAAAAGAAAGAAAGAAAGAAAGAAAAGCAAAAGTATCTATTTCTTTCTTCCAGACAATAAATATATTACTTTATTAATTCCATTTAAAATTATGCCATAAACAATTAGTCATATGGGAGCACTTCTAGACAGTACCAAGTTTCATCTCACAATATTCAGCATAAAACTCAAAAATCAATAGAACAGGATTTGAACACAGATATTCACTGTCACAAATTTACCCTGAAAAAAAAGAAACTGATGTTTTAACGAATCTATGCAACTCACCAATTATCCACCACATTTTCTTGTGGAAATGTATTCATTTTCTGCAGCTAAAATGGAAGAGATTTTGCCTGGGAGTAGCATTCTAAAAGCTAAGCCTTGAAATTCTGTTTGAAATCACCCAGCCATTTAAAAAAACACACACACACACACATACCTGAGAAAATTCCTAAACTCACTGTGGGAAAGAAAAAGGTAAATAAGAATTTTTAACAAATGAAATATATGATTAGATTTTTTTTTGGAAACCCACCTCTTTTATGACCTTTGTAAATATTTTTCTGCCTTTCAAGCTCTACTAATATAAGGCAATTTACAGCTAAAAAACTGAGGTCAAAATAAATGACAAATCTCTTCGAGGTGACAAACCCAGGTAGTGGCAGTGCTGATTAAATAATAGATGTGTCTGACTCATGTTTCAGGTCAGGTCATTCAATCACCGGAGAGATTCTTCCACCCACTCCTGCTCACTTATGTGCTCAAGAACCACCCATTCAGGAGACACTGCATTATGCCTCAGTGACTGCCCCAGGTGCACTTTACTCTGCAAGCTCTTACACCATCTCACTGGGGTCAGTTCTGTTGTTGTTGTTTGTCTTTTGGAATACTTTTCAGTAACAAAACTTTCACTTTTTTTTCCCCAGTATTTTTCTTTAACTCTATTTATTTCACTGTTTTTCTGCCCCCTTAGATAATCTAGGGAGCAGAAATTATTTTTGTGTTTCCCCCTCAATACCAGCATCTGATTGGCTGACCAGCAATGTGTCTCCAAGAAATGAAAGCTGAGTTGGGTGAAGACAATTTTAATGTCTCAAGGGGTTACCTTTTCAAAATAAGAGTGCACCAGAAGATTCCTCTCAGCCCCAGGGCATCCACTTGCTCCCTTGAAAGGACACATTCCATACCTCAGGTCATCCTACGGGAGAAAATAAACCAGAAGCTGACATTCACTAGGCACTTTAGCTGACAGAACCATGGTGGATATCTTGGTTTATCCCCAGATAGTACTGAAACCCAGGACCAGGAAAAAACTAAAGGGTGGCTGAGGACTCCTTTAAATCAGGGGAAGAAATCAGTACCTAGAGGGTGCCCACTGTTAGAAGCCAACTCATAGTCAACCTGTCACTGAATCCTGGCCTCCTGTCTGCACTGGGACACATCACCCCATAGATTTTTCCAAACCAAAACCTTGACCCAAAAACATTCTGATAAGATCTCTGTGCCTAGAGAAGATAAAAGGAAAAGAGACACAGAGATTTTCTACAATACAGTGTCTGAGGATTAGTCTTTGTTTCCTTTTCATGGGAAATATTTACAAACGGATAACAAATCTTAGAAGCACCATTTAATGCTTTGTCAAAAACAATTAAAATATGGCATAAACAAGTACACCAAAGGACAAATAGGTGATAATGTGAATTAGGGAGGAAAAGCTGGCATTTGGGAACGCCAGAAGAAATTGGAAATTTAATATCTTACTGCAAGCCAGAGTGAGGCTGGAGAAATGAGGGACGGGGGTTAGATTTAAGACCCTGCTTGGGACACAGGTGAAAAATGCAGCAGAAAATCAGTTCCCCGTGGAGTGTGAAAGTAATTAAGTGACAGGCAATTAGACTGAGGTGTCTCTAGTCCCTGGGTTCCTACTTAAAAAAAAAAAAAAAATCTAACTCAGGTGCATTTTTTTTTTTAATTACTACATTCAGAGAACATTTAGGCTTAAACAAATATAAACTGCTAATTAACCTCTGATTACACAACCAGGAAATTTTCACCAATATTGTACAAATTAAGAAACTACGTTACTGTACCTAACCAATTACTAAATTTAGTTTTCTTCATAATGCATTTTATAAAGGACTTTCCTTCAAGCCTCTCCCATAGACAACAAACTACAAACCACAGCTGGAGCTCTACGATTCTTGAATCACTGTTTGATTAAATTATTTAAGCCAGGCGCGGTGGCTCACGCCTGTAATCCCACCACTTTAGGAGGCCAAGGAGGGCAGATCACGAGGTCAGGAGTTCAAGACCTGCCTGGCCAACGAGGTGAAACCCCGTCTCTACTAAAAATAGAAAACAATTAGCCGGGCCCGGTGACAGGCGCCTGTAATCCCAGCTACTTGGGAGGCTGAGCCAGGAGAATCGCCAGAACCCGGCAGGCGGAGGCTGCAGTGAGCCCAGATCGCGCCACTGAACCTTAGCCTGGGCGACAGAGCCAGACTCCGTCTCAAAAAAAAAAAAAAAAAACTTTAATATTTTTGCAGTGACTCCCATACATTTTTAATAAGGGAAAAGAGGAACTGGGAAAGCCACGGACCAAAGCTCTTCCCATTCATGAACCCGCACTCCGAGTCAGGATTCTCCCCTGATGACCCTCCTGTGGTCCCCGCACAATCTGAGAGACGCGGCGCTGCGAGTGCAGAGCTGCCCAGAGAGGGCCGCCAGGCCAGAGCACAGTCACTAGCGAAGGGAAGAGACAAGACGCCTGGGGTCCCGGCTGTCAGTGCAGCCGCCATCTTATAGCTGAAGGGCACTGAGGCAAGCTGGGCAAGGAGAACTCGGGGCGCAGATCGTGGAGCTGACTGCCGAGAGGCCTGAGTCCCGTCACAACTACTTCCCACCAGTTCCAAACAGCCCCTTCCCCTTCTCTCGGGAGGTCGGACCGGCACTCTCACCATTTCTAGGCTTCCAGGGGGTCCTGGCGTCTTAGCGGTGGATCTCCCAATATCTGCAGGTCACAGGGCCACAGAGGATGGGCCTCCAGGAGCAGAAGACACAGAGCAGCGAGGACGAAACCTGGAGCTCCGGCTACAGCAAGAGACAAAGGCCCCGCCAAACCCGGAAGCCGTCCAGTCCGCTCCAGCTGCATGCCTGATTGGACGGTTTCCAGCGCAGCGTCCCTGGTTGGATAATGCTTAAATCCCCGCCCCGTCAGGCTTTGAGTGACAGAAGATGTGATCAGATGCTGGACTGAATGAAGAAAGAGTGACAGCCTAGGCTGCCACCACTTCTGACAGGGCTTCCTCTCCGAGCTGAGCCAGGCCCATGCCAGAGAGTATTTGCCTTTAAACTTGTGTATAAGGTCATATGAATAAATAAATAATACATTATAAAGCGATACACAAATGAAAAGAATATAATGACAATTATTTTAAAATTTCAGCTTTTATGGCCTTCCTGGCTTCTGGCCCGGCCCTTTGAGCAGGCAGCCTGAGATTGTAGAAAAGAGAAAATCATCTAAAATGAATGATTTTCGTTTTAGAAAAATTTCATTTTAGAAAATGAAATTCTAAAATTTAGAAAAAATTTAGAAATTTTAAAATTTCATTTTAGAAAATCCACAGCCACGTGTGGATTTTAAATTTTCTAGTAGCCAAACTTTAAAAAGAAACAAGTTGAACTGATTGTTAACAATGTAATTAACCCATTATATTCAAAATATTATCATTTTAATGTGTGAGAAATATATAATTATTGATGAAGTATATAAATATATGGAACTAAATCTTTGAAACTGACTTTGTATTTTACCTTTCTAGCATATTGCATTTCAGACCAGGCACATGATAGGAACCCAGTAGCCACACATGGACCATAGCTGTCACTTTGAAGTGCAGTTCTGATATCAGCGGTGTGAAGGGCCTGAACATCTCTTGTCTGCCAGAGTGAAAGAAGAGACTCTCCCTACAAACATCTCTCTTTGGTTCCGAGGGTGGACCAGATAGTGCCCATAGAAAGAGCTGAGGGCAGCAGGAATAAAATAGCCACAGGTAAACAACTGCTGGCCACCTGTTGCCCGCCTTTCTTTTAGAGACCAGATAGTGAGCAAAGGATGATGGGGCTACAGGAGAAAGAAAAACTACGTCTTCAGTTCTGTCCACACACTTGAACTCCAATATTTAGAGATGGAGAAAATAGATTAAAAGCAAACGTATTTTGCTATTTGGTCTTGGCCCTAATGGTCAGGCTGTGTTTATCTGTTTTCTCCTGTCGTGTGGGGGACTATGTGAGTCTGAGCACCAATCACATGTATACATGTCTACAAGTATTACTGCATTACCCAAAATTCTCTTACAAAACATCCAACTTTAAATCAGGGGAAGAAATCAGTACCTAGAGGGTGCCCATTGTTAGAAGCCAACTCGTAGTCAACCTGTCACTGAATCCTGGCATCCTGTCTGCACTGGGTACATGTATTAGTTAGCTATTGCAGCATAACAAACCATCCAAAACTTACTAGTTTATAATTGAAATGATCAGCCGTTTAGGCCGAGCCGAGTGGGGCCATTCTTCTAGTCTCAGCTGAGCTCCTTCAGACATGTATCATCAGCTGCTCATTGACTAGACAGCTGTGCTTCTGGGGGTGCACTTCTGCTTCTGGGTCTGTCAATAGGGGCACCTTGCTTCTCCTCCCCATGGTATCTTATTTTCCAGCTGGCTAACATGGGCATTATACACAGAGATGGCAGCATTCTAAAAGAAAAATGGAAGCAGTCAATACCATTTGAGCCTAGGCCCGAAACTGGCCCACTGTCATGTTCACAGGTTTCTATTGGCCTGAGCAAATAAGGCCAGCCAGATAGAGGGTTTTGAAAACAGATTCCAGATCTTGATGGGAACAACTATAAAAGCACCTGGCTATGGGTATAGATACAAGAGGGATGAAAAAATATCATTTTACTATCAGTATCATTCTACCTTTTTTGCATATGTGGTATATAGAACTCTTCCACATCAAGAAACTTGTGCAAAGACCTACAGCTACTAAGTGGCTGGGCTGAGACTCAGCATCAACTTTATCTGACTCCAAAGCCCATGCACCTCCACAGATCACACTACTCAAGTAGTTGCCCTTCCCTAGACCCTTGAAATCCTGGAGAGTGACACTTCCATAGAAGAAGTCAGATTCCTTTTAGATTTGTGCTCAGAGAGTACTTTTTTTATCATTGGGAATAGTCCTCACAAGAAATTGCAGAAGCACACGGTGGATCACACCTGTATTTTTAACACTTTGGGAGGCTGAGATGGGAGATTTATGAGAGCTCAGGAGTTCCAATGCAGCCTGAGCAACATAATAGGATTCTGTTTCCATGACAAAAATGAAGAAATTAGCCACCAGTGGTGGTGCATGCCTATAGTCCCAGCTATTTAGGTGGCAGAGGCAGGAGGATTGCTTAAGTCTGGAATGCCAAGGTTGCAGTGAGCTGTAAGCAGTTACACCACTGCAATCAAGACTGGGTGACAGAGTGAGACCCAGTCTCAAAAAAAAAAGAAAAGAAAAAAATTGGAGAAGCATTTTGAAAAGACATCAAATAATTTGGGGAAATAGCTGAGGGATGAGTTTAGAAAATCACAGCCCAACGGCACATTATTTACTTTTCATCATAGAAAATATTTGAAATCCATTAAAAGAAAAAATCTTTAGAGAAATTAATTTTTTTAATTTATTTTTTATTTTTGAGACGGAGTCTCGCTCTGTCACCCAGGCTGGAGTGCAGCAGTGCGATCTCGGCTCACTGCCACCTCCACCTCCCCAGTTGAAGCAATTCTCCTGCCTCAACCTCCTGAGTACCTGGATTACAGGCATGCACCACCACAACCAGCTAATTTTTGTATTTTTCGTAGAGACGGGGTTTTACCATGTTGGTCAGGCTGCTCTCAAATTCCTGACCTCGTGATCCACCTGCCTCGTCCTGCCCAAGTGCTGGGATTACAGGCGAGAGAAATAGAATTCAAATGAGCGTGGGATGATTTGCAAACTGTGTAGCCTGTGGATCCAGGGTAGGCGCAGACAGACTCTAGCACAACCACCTGATGAAAACAGATTTATAGACAGCAAAAGCAAAGTGACATACGTAAAATGAAAGTGAGGTACAGAAACAGCCAGATTGATTACAGGTTGAGATTTACCTGATTTAATCACAATTTAAACACTTGATGTTCTTTTTTTGGCAAAAGCACAGTGTTTGGTACAATAATGGGTTACAGTCCATTTATATATCCAGTTAGGTTTCAGTTTACTATGTACGAAAAACCTAGTGACCGGAGTTAAACAGGAAAGGGGGCAGCTTTAGAGATCATTAATTTAACAATTTCTCCCTTTTGGTCACGTTCTCAATTTTGAGAGATAGACCAAAACTTTAGACATTGATATTACTCTGTCACCATCAAAAGTGTACTTACTTAGTCTCAAATCCCATTGTGAAATAGCAGAACTGTGGGTTTCAAAAGTGGAAACAAGAACTTCACGTTATTTGTTTTTTAGGGTTACAGTAGAGGGGACCATCTTGTATTGAAATCTGCTGTTTCCAAAACAAAAATAAAACCTGGCCTGTTTTAAGATCTACCTATTTATTTAAATTTTTAATTTGATTATTTCATGTTTAACATGAGTGACTCCATTTACTTTGATTTGGTCTGTCTGGGTCTAGTGCACAAGGTCAGTCCAGAATAATGGCCTCCAATACTTTTGTTTAAAAATTTTCACCCTTATGGTTAAGTTCTCAAATAGGTCAGAGTGTGACTAAAACTCAGGGTCTTAGTGTCTCTCTCAGTTTCCATTATTTTTGGTTTTTGTTTTTATCAGGTCCTTCATCGGTTATGGTGTCGTCATGGTCACTTATGTATTTGACTTTTTGTGGTTCCAGTTAAAGAGAGTTCATTTGACATTCTAGAGATAACTGCATGCAAACTTCAATAACTTCTGAGAGAATACAGTGCAGTAGGGAGGTACTATTTTGACTACCCAGGGGATAATATCAAAAGTTTCAAGTATGCTTTTCAGCCAGGGTCCCATGAACCCACCAACTAATAGATCAAATAATTAGCTACATAAATGGTCTCCTCATTTCAAACAAGCAGCCTATTCATTAATCTCCTACAACTGAATCTGCGTAATACCTAGTGAATTTCTCTATGTGCAACTATAAGTATTAGCAACTTCACAGATATGTCTGTTTATACAGTAAATAATCTAGAGAATTTCTATTATTTAGCACAGCTTTAGTAAGAAAAATTAAAGTCTATTGTGTAACCATAGCCTTTACAATAGAATTTGCTGTAAAGTCCTATTATGGGGAATAGATTTCTTTTTTTCTTTCTTTCTTTCTTTTTTTTTTTTTTTTTTTTCTGAGACAGAGTCTCATTCTGTTGCCCAGGCTGGAGTGCAGTGGCATGAT